GTTTTTTGAGACAGGGTCTCACTATGTAGTTGAGACTGACCTGGAACCCACTATGTAGCCCAGGCTGGTCTCGAACTCACAGAGATTCTCCTGCCTCAGCCTCCCGAGTGCTGAGATTACAGGCATGCGCCACCACGCCCGGCTGTCACAGCAATTTTTAAATAATTCATTCTTTACAACTCAGCTTCAAAGATTCAAAGCTAATCTTTCTTATACAATTTGCCACTTTATCTAAAAGCTGAGGCTATAAAAAAAAAGTCACACTCTTGAGAAACAAATGAATGCTCTTAAAATTATGTATTAACCTAAACAAAGTCAGGTTCCATTTAAGAGAAAGATTCATGCAATGTACAAAAGTATGAATTTTAACAAAATAAATTCAGACTTAGAAAATCTAATCTCGGTTTGATATGTAGTATTATCTTAGTTCCACTGACACATTTTTACCCCATATTTCCCCCAAAGAACATTTCTAGAGCACAAAATAGATTCATAATGATTTAATTAGATACATTTTATATATCCTGAACATAAGGGCTCCCATAGAAATAAACTAGTATTCTGTACACAAACTTTATTTACTGTGCCACATCATAATATACTGAGTCAAGTGCAAACATTCATTGCACCCCCTGGGGTGTGTGAAACTCTGCTCCCACAAACACTTCGTTATCCAGGATGACAGAGAACAAGATTAGGCAAGATGGATAAGTAAAATCCACAAGGTAGTGACAAAAATGTACTTCAGATTATGATTATGAATGCTTCTCCAGCCACAGCTGTAACTAATACTAAACAAAAACAGATTAATCAGGTTTTCCTCCCTAAACCCCCTCCCACTGCTCCTTAGAACAGGATCTAGTGATTGATTTAGTGGAGCCGCTAAAAGGAATGGGGCCAGGATACTCAAGAGAGCAAAAGCTTTGGAAAATTGACAACTTGGCCTCCTTGGTACTGAAAAGCCCTTGTTTACTCTTACCCAGAAAATCACATTCAGGTCCCTCGCCACACATACAATTATTAAGTAGCATTAAATGTACCTAATTAAATGTATCTAAAAGGTTTATTTTTACAATTGCATGGAAATTAAAGGGAAGGTATTTTGAAATAACCCATGAAACAATAATGATTTGATTAAAACCAGCAGCAAAACTGGAGAGAAAAATTCCATCTTAGGTAGTAGCATCAAAATCAAAATACTTAGTTTCTGGCAGGCTCTCCAAATGCTGGTGTGTGCCACAGATCTGTTCGGGCTACAAGGTCATCGCCGCTTATTGTCAATCTCCTAAATGACCATCTCACATGAGAGGAAGGCGTTTTGAAGTAAATCATATAAAGTGTTCAGAAATATCAATTCCTCCTCTATCCTACATCACTTTAGAAGAAAAGGAAATAAACAAACAATAATGCCCCGAAACAAAAAAGCATATAAAATTCCAAGGAATACATCAGGTTTTATTATCAGAATAATCTAATACTGTATCTTTTCTTGTTCAGCCCCAACAGTCTAAACATTATATAGATGAAAATTCCAATAAGGAAGTCTTATAATTCTATAACCACCACTGTCAATAAAAAATGAAAGAGGGATGAAACCATTATACCAATATGAATGTTTGATGGGGGACATTAGTCAATCAAGTGTTAAAGGAGTATTATCTAAAACAATTGGCCCATAAAATGGGTATATGAATCCCAAAACAGATTCTAAATCTACTATAAAATATGGTGACTTTGCCTAAGTTGACATTTTTCTCATCCTCGTACTGAAATCCTAATCAGAGTTATTTTGCAGGCTGAATTCATTTAATCATGGTCCTGTCGCCAATGTTTCATTTTCTCAATTATAATCCTAGGGACAATGGTTGCTTCCCTGATGGGTCTGGGTGCTCTCCCAGCTTCCTCACTGATGTCAGACCTGTCAGCCACCGGCTGCTTCTCCTTTATTCTCTTCGTTCAGTGTTTTGATGGATTCTCGTATTTACGCTATTTTGAGACTGTTCAAGAAAACGCAAGTAGAGGCTAAAACCACTTTAAATAGTATTTTAAGCTATACTAATCAAAGGAGAACAGCTTTCTGTGAAGAGGTCAATATTTCTAATTAAATTACAATTAAAATGAGAGGGAAGCATCTGAGGTTGTCAAGATGAATGAACAGGAAAATCATGGACGACAGGGGAGATTTTACCATAGGGCAAGCCAAAACAATATTTAAAATGGGAGTTAAAATATTTGAGAAGCACAGGTCTGGTTAAGTAGAATACTTAGAGGTGGTGATGGTTTTAGGGAATTTGAGAATGAAACTCTACTGTAAATATACACAAAATGTATGTACAATAAGGACTTGAATGAAAGGAGGGATGAGTTTTGGATAACTAAATATTGCTCCATACAGTGGAAATTTTAGAGTTTCCCCTTACATTCTCATCAGCAGTTTTTTGTTTGGTGGTGTATCAGCCATTACAAGAAATGCTACACTAAGAAGAAATAACACTAAAATCAACACCTCATAGCTGAATGTAAAAGTTCAGTAACCTTATGATCAGAGTTTAAAGTGACACTTAAATTTAGATGTTAAGAATCTAAGAATAAAAATCTAACAATAAAATATGTGTAATTTCATAATTCTCTAGGAGAATCTCTTTAAGATAAAAAAAACCCACACAGGCATCTGCGTGCAGAAACTTAGGAACACCGATGCAAGTTTCCTATGAAAGCTTCTGTATTCTATGGAGGAAAAACAAATTCTGAAGTATGCAAATCACATTTCTGCCCTCCCATTAGGATGGATAAATTCCTTAGCCTAAATTTTATATCTCTGCTCCTAGCAAAGTAAATTCCTATTACGTAGTTATGTATCATATGGAATCACTTGATAAAAATAAGAAATATAATTTTGCATAGAACCCATTGTAACAATGCAAATAAGCTATGAGCATTCTTGATTCTGTTCTCAATGGAATTGAAATAGTGGTGACGAGGTGGTCATGGGTTAAGAGATGTATGATATACATTGTGCTTCATTCAGAAACAGGGACTGCTTATAGTACTAAGCCCACACTGAAAATACACATGCTGACTGGCATTTCCCTCACAGTTTTCACAATGGTGACAAACGTCCAAATCAAACAGATTTTGCCAACCAGTAGGGCAAAACTGTGAGGTTAGGCAGAAGAGGGATGGTTTGTTATCTGGACACCGGGCAGGAACTTAATGAACAATGTAAATACAGAGATCTACTCAGCACATCTTTCTTCCTTTGTGCCCTTCAGATATAACACACAGTAATTCACTTATCAAAGTTAAACACATGGTGTTCACTTTTTAAATACATTTGTTAGTCGAATCACTGATTGAGAAAGTGAAGCAGGCCATGATTCACAAGATCTGTCCTTCACATAAACCTGTGAGCACACATTTAAAAAATGGTTTATTGTACATCTCTGCATTTCTTAAGGCATAAACAATGGCATACAGATGGAACAGGCCTGGGAGCATCGCGTCTTTTTGAAGAGGTTGGCACACCACAAGAAGGACACACTTGAAGTCTGAGCTGACTGACTGTTGTGGCCCGGAGCTCTTCCGAGAAGGGGACGGTGCTTCCAGGCAACGGACCAAACGTGTGGTTTATACTTGTTGTTAACCCTCTTGATCAGCGTTAAGCACCAGTTACAGTTTGGTTTTCTTTACAAACCCTTCAGACTTTGGATTTTATATTCTGCTCCTTTTATTCTGCTTTCCGAGGAGGGTGTGGGTGTTTTGTTTTTGTTTTTAAGGAATATGGTTGCAGCAAAACAGAAAGGATCCAAAAGTGGTTAGGGGCCTTGTCTAATGCACTTTTGAAAGTCCATTATAAAGATGAATAGAAAAGCAAATGGTAGGTTTTAGTCAACCCAGAAACCACGCATAGCTATAAGAAACGTAATTGTGCATAGTTATTTATTCATTCAGAGTGTGATATGTGGGCTAGCTCTACATTCCCAGTTTACCAAAGAACAGGGCTGTCTACTTTGCTAAACCCAGGGTCCTTTCGAAGCTCCCAATAGGTGTCATTAGAAACCCAGGCTTCTCTTTGATTCGCATCAGTAACTTTTCTGTGAAAATATAAAAACCAACATTAGCCGCAAATGACATCAAGGTGATCTAATAAGTGGACCCTTTTCTTAGATTAGATGGGGAGACATAAGCAGTACCCTTTGTAAGCTAGTTTGTGTCCTATCTGCTGGCGATTCTCCTGCTTCATTCAGCCTCTGAAGTGCTGAGATTACATCAGGTGGCAGCCACCACACCTGAAATTTTTGTTGTCATATAT